TACATAGTGGGACCCTGTCTCAAAAAATCAAAACAAAAAGAAAAGAAAAAGCAATGAGCAAGACCAGAAAGCATCAAAGTGCAGGTGATACAAATGTCCTGGAGAGGAGCACACCAAGCAGCTGGCATGACAGGTGCAAAGGCCCGGTGGCAGGAGCCATGCAAGGAATGGCCAGAAGGCCCTTGTGGCTGCAGCCAGGTAAGTGGTGTAGAGAAATGGACAGAGGGGAGGCGTGAGGGCAGCTTGTCATTTGGGCCATGAGAGCCATAAAAGGTTCTGAGCAGAGGGGGACTCAGGTGCTCACAGGCGCCGGCCTACGGCTGCAGGAGGAGTTGCAGCCAGCAGCCCAGAGAGCCATGGTGGGGCCTGGGCAGAGACCCTGGATTCTCCCGGTGCTGGGCATGGGGGCGGAGCAGAGCTCAGGGCGGCTTCTCTGTCGGAAGATCCCATGGGAGTGACGGCTCCGTGTAGCCTCTTTCCCTGCGTCTTCCTGAGGAAAGCGGAAGCAGATGCCCAGCCCTCCCTGTGGCCTCCGAGAGGGGCCTGGCTTCCTCCGAGTGCCCAGGCAGTCTCCCACAGGCTGGGGAGGGGCACAGGCGGCCCAGAGCCTGCGGAGCCATAAGCGCTCAGAGCCCACCGTGGACCGTCAGACTCTGAGCTCCGGTGCGGCCACTGCTGTTCCTCAGCCCCAGGAGCTTTCCCCTCATTCCCAGCATGGCCCGCTTCTCCTTCCTTTCTTCTTATTCATTTATTTTCTCTGAGAACAAGGTCTCACTATGTAGCCCAACTGGTTGCCCACTCACAGCGATCCTCCCGCCTCGGCCTCCCAAGTGCTGGGATGACAGGTGTGCGCTACTATGCCAGGCTGTGTCTGCTCCTCCCCTCCTGTCCCAAGCTAAAAGCTTTCCTGAACCACCCGGCCATCCTGCTCTATCCTGGACCACGCCCGGGTCTCCCGGTCACTCGTCCTAACATTCTCACCCCATAAGCTCAGAAACGCGTTACTTGCGGAAAGGCTTCTGATTTCCAGTTCAGAAGGGTGAGGACCCAGTCGCTCCTGCAGCAGTGTCCAGCCCTGACAGGCTCTGTGTTAACCAACTGCGGACAGAAAATATTTTTTTAAAAATTGGGTTTGTTTTCAGTCAGCTGTTTCTCCACTGATCTCGAGGAGTCTGTGGTCCCGACTGAGCACGCAGACACTTTTCCTGGTCATTACTCCGTGAACACGGGACAGCAATGACTCTCATGGTATTTGCATTGTATGAGCTATGATAAGCCATCTACAGACAACTGAAAATCTATGAAAGGTTGTGCATGGCTTCTATGCAAATACTGAGGGGCCAGGGAGTACTAGGGTTTGAACCCAGTACCTCTGCACTCAGCTACATCCCCATCTTTTAAAAAAAAAATTTAAATTTTTTTTTGGTCTTTTTGAGACAGGGTCTTGCTATGCAGTTCAGGCTGGCCTTGAGCTCACTTTGTAGCCCAGGCCAGTCTCAAACTCACAATGATCCTCCTGCCTCAGCCTCCCGAGTGCTGGGATTACAGGCGTGCACCACCATGCCCAGCTTATCCTCAGCTTTTTATTGCTTTTATTTTTATGAGTTGGTATCTTACTAAGTCACCAAATTGCTCAGGCTGGGCTTGAACTTGTGATCCTCCTGCCTCAGCCTCCCAAGGGCTGGATGACAGGTATGTGCCACCATGCCCAGATTATTATTTTGAAATACTCTCCCTGTGATGCCCAGGCTGGCCCTAAACTCCTGGGCTCAAGCAACCCTCCTGCCTCAGCCTCACGAGTAGCCAGGACTCCAGGCGCACACTAGTGCATGTAGCCAATTCCCAGTGAGTCAAAAGGAGATGTGTCATAGCCTTCTCCACACTGCATCTGAGAGCTTCCATTGTGTGTGACAGGTTCTGACAACTTCTCTGCTGCCCTTCGTTCCCTCAAAGTTTTCATTTGTTTGGTTTTGGTTTCTTGAGAGAGTCTCACTCTGTAATCCAAGCTGGCCTCCAACTTGCAGCGATCCTCCTTCCTCAGCCTCCCTAGTGCTGGCATTACAGGTGTGTGAAGTTCTGATGTGATGCAGGCAGAAGCACATGCCTGCATCCAGCTGCAGCTGTCCGGGTGACAGAGGCTGAGTACTCTCGGGACAACAGGGGCTCTGCCTGGGTCTCAGTGTCCTCCCACAGGGCCATCCAGAGGCACAACAGCCCCGCAGATAACAGCTTGCCTAAGAAGCCTCAGCTGACCTCCCAACACTGATGGTTGATCCATTTTTTGAGACAGGGTCCCACTATGTATCCCAGGCCAGCCTCAAACTCTTGGTGCTCCTCCTGCCTCAACCTCCTCAGTGCTGGGATCACAGGCATGTGCCACCATGTCCGGTGCAGGAACACTATTTAAAACATTAATTCAAGCCAGGCATGGTGGTGCAGACCTGTAATCCCAATGCTTCAGAGGCTGAGGCAGGAGGATCGCCATGAGTTCAAGGCCAGCCCAAGCTACCAAGTTCAAGGCCATCCTGGACTGCACAGGGAGGCCCTGTTTAAAGAAACCAAAACATTCAAGTCCTGCTTGAGCCATCTAGTGAGACCTTGTCTCAATCAAACGAAACAAACAGGTTTAGGGACACAGCTCAGTGCAAACAGTCCTGGGTTAAATTCCCAGGACTGCCAAAAATAACTCAGCAGGGAAAGAACACGAGCTGGGGTTTTAGCGGGCATGGTGGCACATACCTACAATCCCAGCGCTCTGAGAGGCTGAGGCAGGAAGACTGCAAATCAGAGCCCAGCCTGGGCAACTAACCAAGGAGACCCTGTCTCAGAATAAAAATGGCTGGGAATATAGCTCCATGTGAGGCCCTGGGTTCAACCCCCACGAAAAATTGGGAATTTGGTGTCTCAGCGTGCAGCTCAATGGTAGTATCTGCCTAGCATGCATGAAGGCCCGGGTTGTCCCTACTATTACTGCAAACAACTGGGCCGCTGGCGTTGCGCCTTACAGCGGTGATTCGCCCACTCACGCGACTGCAGAGCCCTGGCTTTCTGACCTCTGCTTGGAGCAGTTGTGATGAACCCGCGGGCCTGTCAGTCGCATCTACTTGTGGAATTGAGCCTGAGCTTCAAGGCCGACGGCTGTGACAAGCAGGCCCACAAGCCTGTCAGGGACAAGAGGGCACCATGAAGGTGCTAGGAGACCCCATGCCTCTGCAAGCTTCAGGCTGGCCCTGAACTCATGACAGTCTTCCGCCTCAGCCTCCCCAGGGCTGGGATCACAGGCAGGCGCCACCATGCCAACTTGTGTTCCTACTCTTGTGTGAAACCAGATTTGGTTTTAGCCAGGCACAGTAGCACAGGCCTGTAATCCTACCACTTGGGAGGCTGAAGCAGGAGGGTCACCAGCCTGGGCTATAAAGTCAGTTCAAGGCCAGCCTGAGCCACACATTGAGACCCTGTCTCAAAATACACAAATACATGTAATTAATTAAAATAAACTTTATTTTAAACACAACCAGGGAGAGCCAGGTCGGGATCTCATCCGGGCTGAAGTCTGCGCCGCAGGTCAGGGGATGTCGCGGTAGGGCAGGCGGAAGGGGTAGAGCGGCGTGTAGCGCGAGTCCTGCCAGAGCAGCTTCTTCTCCAGGAAGGCGACGGTGGGCAGCGTGAGGACCAGGCCGTGGTGCTTGAGCATGCTGTGCACGTTCAGGCCTGGGGGGCAGGCTTGGGGTCAGCCTGTCCCGCCCTGCCACATTTGGAGCTGGTTCCCCTCAGGGGACCCCAAGATCTGGTACCAGTGGTGACCCAGCAGCCTGGCTTCAACCCCGCCTCTGCTGCCCCTAAGAGCCTGGCCAGCCGGGTGTGGTGGCCCACACCTCTTACCCCAGCACTCTTGGGAGGCTGAGGCAGGAGGATCGCTGAGCTGAGCTACATAGTGACACCCTGTCTCAAAAAACAAAAGAGCCTTCCAAGAGGCTGCCCTCAGCTCTGTGGGTTCTGCCCTGCACTTGGCTAGGACTCCTACCTCACATCGCAGTGGGGAAGACCCGCAACACGCGAATAAGTACTGTGGGAGGGGAAGAGGAGGGGACAGGCAGGGGCAGAGCCCTGGAGGAAGGTGGGAGGCAGGAGCAAGGCCAGGCTGACTCGGGTGCTCAAGGCGCCCTCTGGTGGCTGCAGCGGGAACGGACTTCGAGAGGCAGAGCACGCTGCTTTTGAGAAAAGCACCGTTAGGGAAGGCACAGGGTCTGGTCATGCAACCTGGCCTTTCACTGCTCAAGGCCATTCAGGACAAGCGACAGACACAGGGGTGTTGAGACTGGACTTTGCTATGTTGGCCCAGGCTGGGCTCAAACTTGGGGATCCTTCTGCCTCAGCCTCCCGAGTGTTGGGATTATAGCTGTGCGCCAAGCTGGGCTCAAACGCAGGCCTCCGGCCAGCCGGGTTCCGCCAGCTGGGCCCACACGCGTTCACTCTGGCGTGAGCCGGGCCCTCTGCTCACCCACGGCTGGGATCAGGTTGATGGTCTTGAGCCTGCTGGCGGCTTCCACGACGTTCTGCGGCATCTCCTCGTGTGTCCTGTGCCACAGGAGTGTGAGCCCCGCGGAGCCGCGCGTGACCCCCGCCCCGCCCCTCCCCGGCACTCACAGGTCCACGAGCAGCACGGAGTCGCCCCAGCGGCGGTAGCGGGCCAGCTCTGTCAGGTACTGGGGGTCTGCGGTGGGCATCTCCAGGGAGTCTACGATGTGCAGGTCGTCCTGGGGACACGAGCCCTGAGCCCCGGCGATGCCCCCCGCAGCCTCCCGGGACCTGGGCCGAGACGGCACCTTACCTGCGCCAGCTTCACCGTCAGCGCCACCTTGAGCCCCAGCACGCGCACCTTCATGGGCAGCATGTAGTAGTAGCTCGTGGGGCCCCGGGGGCCGTGTGCGATGCCCCCTGCGGGCACAGAGGCGGTGAGGCGTGCGGGTCGCGGCAGGGGAGGACCGTGCCTCAGTGACCGCTAACAAGCTGGGGAGCAGGACGTCAGGGAGGCAGAGAAAGGAGGCTGGCTAGGGCACAAGCTGGGGGCCCTGCCTTGCCCTCTCTAGGTCTGTTTCCCCAGCTGTTAACTCCGAGATCCGACAGCTCCTAACCCGCACGATACCAGGTCCTGGGGACGGAACCCAGGGCCTTCACACTCAGCTCCATCCCCAGCCTGTTTTTAAAACTTTATTTTGAGACAGGGTCTCCTTAAGTCACTAAATTGTTCAGGCTGGGCTTGAACTTGCGATCCTCCCGCCTCAGCCTCCTAAACAGCTGGGTTGACAGGTGTGCGCCCTAAGCCTACGTGGTTAAGGCTGCAGGGGAGGTCAAGGCTTCCAGGGCGGGGGCAGGGGGCACTGGGCACAAGCTGCTGTGGACTTAGCAGTTTGGAGTGTGCTTGTGGCCAGGCCAGACAGACAGGGCTCGACGGCTCGCAGAGGGCATCGAGGTGGCACCCAAAACCCTGTCTCCCACACAGCAGGCCAGATGTGTGCAGAAACAAGGAACACCCGGCGGTGAGCCCCCCGCCGCCCCCACTCACCGCCACGCCAGATCGGGGAGCGGATGCTGCCGTGCCGCGCCCGCCCGCTGCCTTTCTGCTGCCAGGGCTTCCGGCCGCCGCCCCGCACCTCAGCCCTGGTCTTGGTCTTCGCGTGGCTCTGTGGGCAAGGGGAGGCTCAGGCGCAGGAGGCGATGGCACCGTGGCCACTGGGGCCACAGGGACGGCGAGGCTGGGAAGACCAGGCTGGTGGCTTCACCGCCAGGGCCACGGGGGCCGGGGCTGGGACAGCAGGGAGCAGACTCTCTAGACTTCTGTGGTGGGGGCTCAAAGGCAGGGACTTGGAAAATGGATGCTGGTTTTGGTGGCACTCAGGGTCTTCACACTGAGCGACACTCCAGCCCTTTTATTGAGATAACGTATCACTAAGTTGCCCAGGCTGGGGTCCAATTCGCAATTCTCCTGCCTCAGCCTCCCAAAGTGCTAGAATTGGAGGTGTGCACTGCCCCCAGCCTAATCATGGATTCTTTCGTGTTCCCAGCATAAATTCCAAAGTTCTCATGATGGCTCCCACTGACTTCTGTGGCACAGGGGGCTCCTTCTGGTCCGGGCCACAGGGCTTTTGAATATCACGTGCTGTTCCCATTGTTGCCACCCAAGCCCCACTAATCCGCGCGGCTCCTACACGAGGCTCGGGGTCAATCGTCTCTCTAGGACAGCTGCCCGTCACTGCACGTTCACAGCCGCGGCTGCCTGATTCGCGTCTCCTCTACCACCCCATCGTGAACTCCAGGAGGTCAGGCCCCACGCCCGTCCTGCCGACGTCCAGTCCTCCCCAAGCACAGAGCTCAGTGGTGGGTGCTCAGGAGATGCCTGAAACTGACCCATCCACGCACGGATCCAGACGGAGGAGGAGGAGAGGAGGCCAGGCCAAGCACTCCAGAGAGAAACCGCTGCGGCTTCCTCAGCCTCCGGCCCCTGAGCCCCACAGGCAAACACCCCCCCCACCCCCGCCTCTGCCCACACTCACGATTCTCTTGAAGTTCTTCTGCCAGATGGCCACCTGGTGCAGGATGTCCAGCCTGGGGCGGAGCGGGGAGATGTGAGAAGCCACCTCCACTTCACACCCTCCCACACAGCCAGGCACAGAGGCCCACGCCTACAATCGCAGCACTCTGCCAGGCTGAGGCAGGAGGATCACAAATTGGGAGTCCCGCCTGAGCAACTTATTGCTATTTTGCCTCGAAATAAAAGATTAAAAAAAGAGGGTGGGAGTATAGCCCAGTGCAAAGGCTCAGGGTTCAACCCCAGTACCAAAAAACGAAAACAAAACCCTCATGCAGCTCCTCACCCACTGAAGGAAAATCCAGGCCCCGCCCCCAACCTCTGGAGCTCTATGTAATATGCTCTTTTCCAACCTCCGCTACCATCTCCTCCAGCCAAGCCGACCTCTCACAAGATGCAGCCCAGCCCCAGGGCCTTTGCACTTGCGATTCCCTTCCTGCTCCTTCAATCTTGTCCTGGCCAGTTCATTCTCAGCCACACAAACCCCTCTGAGAAGAGTCCCCTTGCTGAAGGGAAAGCCACCCCTCCCTCCTCGCACAGGACGCTGCTTCCTTCCTACCATTACGGACTCCCGTGTGAACTGCCTCTCCAGCCCTCTACTATTCTGCACGGTAGACTGCAGCCACATCTCGCCACTGAATGGCTAAAATATGGTGACAAAACTTCCATATATACCAGGTTAAACACATGATTGAAATTAGCCTCACGTGTTTCTTTCAGGTTTTTTTTTTTGGTCTTTTTGAGACAGGGTCTCGCTCTGCAGTTCAGGCTGGCCTTGAGCTCACTTTGTAGCCCAGGCTGGACTTCAATTTGCGGCGATCCTCCTGCCTCAGCCTCCCGCGTGCTGGGGTGACAGGCGTGCGCCGCCACCCCGGCTCCATCGTCCCCTTTGGCAGGGGGACACCCTGAGGCGCACGGGCAGGCGCACGCCGCTTCCCGAAGTCGTGCTGCCCTTCCTGCCCAGCGGCCGTCACAGCCGCGCTCACCGGGGCTCCGTGGCGAAGACGTCAGGGTGCAGCTCGGCCAGGCCCACGCGCGCCTGCTCGTAGCCCCGCAGGGACTCGACCCAGGCCTGCACCGGGCGCCGGTGCGCGGGGAGCGGGAGTTCGCAGCGGCGTAGCACAGGCTCCTGGACACCTGCAGCAACGGCGGGGTCAGGGGTCAGGGGTCAGGGGTCACTCCCCCGCTAGGCGCCCCCGGTGGGCTGCTCACCCGCGCTGCGCTCCGGCTCCGGCTCCTTCACCGGCCTCACTGCCTCCTCCGCCAGCGAGCTCAGGCCCTGCAAGCGGAGGCCGAGCGTGAGATACGACCCCGAGGGCGAAACCCTTTGTCCTCTGACCCTGTCCGCGGCGCTCGGCCTCACCCTGCAGCCCGAGGCCCGAAGCCAGGCCCGCGCTCCGGCCCGGACTAACTGCAGCATCGCCTCGCGGGTCCCCTCGCCGGGGAGGTCACGGCTCCCTCCGGACGCGCGCGGCGCCTCGCTATGACGTCACGCACGCGCCGCGCGCGCCTCGCTAGGGGATTCAGCGCGGGGAAGTGGGGGCGCGCTAGAGTGAGGACCGCTGGGTGAAGCCCCGTGCGCCCTTACGTCCGTCCCAGAACTAAGCCCCTGGCCCTGTGTGCTACTCCTGATTTAAGGACACTTGGGAACACCACCCTAAACGGACTCCCTCCAGCTGGTCTTATCTTCTCGCGTCCCGCCCCCAAGGAGAGGAACATGGAGTGCAGCCAATGAGACTTCTCTGGATCCAAAGCTCTCTCCAGAATTAGCCAATGAGCATTAAGTCCGGAGGAATGACCTGCCTGTAGCTGGGGAGTTCTGGGGCGGGTATCTAAGAGAATGCGGCCAATAACTTTGGACGTTAGCCCCGCCCCGAGCCCCGCCCCTTCGGCTTCAAAATTCGCGCGGGGGATTCGGCGTTCCACGTGAAGGTTCCCTAGTTTCCGCGAGCGTGGTTGCGCGGGGATGGTCTCCTGCTCCCCCTCCTCTCCCTTCCTCTCCCGTGCCTCCCGCCCCCTCATCCTCTGTATGAAGTTGGAGGGTCCTATGTATATTTGCTTGTGTTTTTAATGCTAATCTTGTCAAAATAACTGACAGGTACATGGGATATTACTGTATGCGGGACAGGTACATGCATATTACTGTATGCGGGACTACAGATAACTGACAGGTACATGCATATTACTGTATGCGGGACTATGCTGTTCTCAAGGTCCCCTTAACTGCTTCCTATAATTTTTATTTTTTGAGACAAGGTCTCGCTGTGCATTCCAGCCTGGCCTTGAACTTACTGCATAGCCTGGGCTGGCCTTGAATTCACAGCGATCCTCCTGCCTCAGCCTTCGAAACCGCCGGGATGACAGGCATGCGCCACCATGCCTGAGGTGGAATATTCATACAGTGCATTCAGCTGTCAAGTTATCTCCCTCCCCTACAGCATGATTTACTTAAATATCTATATTAAAGTATGGTCTCAAGGTAGACAACCTGAGAAGCTAGAGGCATTTATTTATAAAGGAATCTGGCCAGTGAATGTAATTCTCATTACTAGAGAACCATAAGAAGTTAACTTACCCCGTATATCAGGGCACACTGATTCAAAGATGTGCCTAGAGAAATTACAAAGATTTAGACCCAGTCACCGGGCTTAGTGGCACTTCCTACAGCTAGAGAGGCTGAGGAAGGAGGATCACTGTGAGTTCGAGGCTAGTCTGGGCTACATAGTGAGACCCTAACTCAAAAAACAAAAACAAAACCCCCCAAAGTATTTAGGTCACTTTAAAATTGACAGTTTCTCAGAGGCACACAATGGATAGTAATCATTTTAGATTCTGTTGATTGCATTCTTTTGATTAGGGAAATTAGAAATTATACAAGAAAAAAAATCCTATGGTTCATTCAAAGGCAGGGCCTCATCTCCCAAAGAAAACCTTTGGGATTGAGCCGGCCTGGTCGTTTGGCCCAGAGCCGCGCTCTGCTCTCCTGAAATCCCTCAGTAGGATCTGTGTCTCCACCCCCAGGCCACGTTCCTGTCCCCTGTCACAGCTGGGGCTCCCCAAGGACAGTAAAGTGGGGAGTCCACGGAGCCGGGTGGCTCTCCCGGAACCCTACTGCTGTGATCAAATGATTGGTTTTATTTGATTCTGCTGTGTGTTTCCCTCGACCTCCAGGGGGCGCCGCGAACCCGTGCCGGGCCAGGACAGCCAGACCGAGGTCAGCGCGGTCTGAACCGAACTTTGCTGTCAACCGCGTGCTGTCTGAACACACCCCGTTTCTCCATCTGGAAAATGGGAGAGGTTATGGGATTTTGATGACATGATAGAGGCAGAGCGGGACATGCTTGACACGAGGTGAAAACTCAATAAATAGCACTGATGATGATGATGATGATGATGATTGTAGATAGGGTCTCGATCTGTAGTTCAGGTTGGCCTTGAACTCACTAAGTGGCTCAGGCTGGCCTTGAACTCCTGGCGATCCTCCTGCCTCAGCCTCCACAGTGCTGGGATAACAGGCATGCACCACCACACCTGGCGATTATCTTTATTGAAGGATTTTGTCATCAAAGAGAAAAGACAGCTAAAACAAAGATAGGGTGAGCCCTGGAATAATTAAATTTTGTGCAACAGATGTGCACTTTAAAAAAAAACTTTGCATCTGATGTGTAATATTTGAACATTTTTATGAAAAACTAATAAAGATGTGCAATGAGGCTGGGGTTGTAGCTCAGTGGTAGAACAGTACAAGGCCTGGGGTTCCATTCCCAGTACTGTGGAAAGAAAGATAGAAGAAGACAAAGAATTTACAATATTTTTTTTTTGTTTTGTTTTTTTTTCTGGTACCAGGAATCAAACTCATGACCTTGCACTTGTCAGGCAGGCACTGTACTGCTGAGCTAAATCCTCAGCTCCCAATATTTCTTAGACTTATGTATTTATTTGATTTTTTGAGACAAGGTCTTACCACGTAGTTTGGGTTGACAGAGAATTCACCTTGTAGCCCAGGCTGTCCTCAAACTGGATCCTCCTGCCTCAGCCTCCCAAGTGCTGGGACTACAGGTGTGCACCACCATACTAAGTTCCCATTTACATATTTCTCTTACAGTGACCTCCACTTTCATCCATGCTGTTGCAAATAGCAGGATTTCACTCTTTTTTCTGCCTGCATAATATTCCATTCCTGACCATAGGCCACATTGTCCTTATCCATTCACCTGTCAATGGGCACTTCATTTGATTCTGTATCTCAGCTGTTGTGACTTGTGCTGCCAGAAATGTGTGAACGCAGAAATCTCTTTGACGTATTCATTTCCTTTGCATATAGCCCTGGTGTGAGATTGCCAGATCATATGGGAGTTCTATTTTTAGCTTTTTTGAGGAACCATCATACTATTTTCCATAATAACTGTATTGATTTGCATTTTCTCTGGGCATGAAAGTTCCCCTTTTTTTTGCATGCTGGACGCAGTTGTCATTTTTTATCTTTTTGCTTATACCCAGTCAAAGTGGGGTAAAACGGGCTCTTGTGGTTTGGATTTGCATGTCTCTGATAATTAGTGGGGCTCAGCATTTTTTTCATATACCTGTTGACCATTTGCTTTACCATTGTAAAAGTTTTTTACTTTTTTCTTGTGATACAGGGTCTCACTATGCAGTTGAGGCTGGCCTTGAACTCACCATGTGGCCTGGGCGGGCCTCAAACTCCTGGCAACCCTCCTGCCTCAGCCTCCTGAGTGCTGGGATCATAGGTGTACACCACCATGCTGGCTGCTGGATAAATTCTTTTTTTCTTTTTTTACTTTTGTCTTTTTGAGACAGGGTCTCACTATGAAGTTCAGACTGGCCTTGAGCTCCTTTACTTTGTAGCCCAGGCTGGTCTCGAACTCTCAACAATCCTTTTGCCTCAGTCTCCGGAGGGCTGGGATTACAGGTGTGTGCTACCACGCCCAGTTTAAATTCTTGAGTGAATTTCTTTATTCATCCTTCTATTGCAGGACCCTGGGTCTCAAAGTCTCTATAGTTCTCTTTTTTTTTGTATCAGGAATCAAACTCAGGATCTTGCGCTTGCCAGGCAGGCGCTGGTGCCACTGAGCTATATCCCTAGCCCTCAAAATCTCTGTCTCTCACTGGGTCCACAAAGTGCCCATACATGATTTTTCCCCAATGGCCCAGAAGTGACATAGACAAGGGTCGAATCCAGGGGCTGCCACTGACTGGCTGGGGGTCGGTGGGCTGTGGCTCTTGAGCTGTGAGCGTCCCCCTCCCCACTGAGCCGTGCAGAGAGTCATGATGATCCTTCCTCCCTTCCAGGCTCCCGAGAGTCTCTTTCCCCCGTGGAGGTAGCTGTAAACACCTGACTCAGATCACATCCCTTGATTCCTTAGAGCAAAAGCCAAAGTCCTTGTCACAGCCCACAAGGCCCTGCAGGACCTGTGGTCCACTCCCCTACCTCTGGCTCCATCACACTGTGGCTGCAGCTGCACCAGCCTCCTCATCCAATCCCTTGAACCACATTGCAGCCCCAGGACCTTTACTCTGATCATTAGTTCCTCCTTCCTGGATCTCATCTTCTCCCACCCACCCACACCTGCAGGCTTCACTCTTACCTGAAATCATCTTTCCATTCCTACCCTCCATTTCTCTAGCACTTCTACTACATTCTCATGGATGTCCTGTTCTTTATTTTGCTTTCTTTTTGTGCTGAGGGTTGAACTGCAGGTCTCGAATATGCTAGACACATGCTCTAGCACTGAGCCACATCTCCAACCCTGTCCAATTTCTTTTATTTTTTTCTTTTTTGAGACAAGGTCTCACTACCTAGCCCAGGCTGGCCTTGAACTCCTGGTGATCCTCCTGCTCAGCCTCCCCAGTTCTGAGATTATAGGTGCGCCACCACGCCCAGCATATTGACCATGTAGAATTCAGTTTGCACAGAGTACCCCCGCTATTAATTATGAGTCCTAATAAAAGGGATGTAACAACCATCCACACCTCCCTAGTGTGGGAGGCTGAGGCAGGAGGATTGCATGTTGAAACCCAGCCTGGGCAACTAAGCAATTTAGCAAGACCTGGTCTCAAAATAAAAAGATAAAAATGGCTGAGGGGCAGCTCAGTGGTAGAGCGCTCCTAGGATTGATCCCCAGTACTGAGGGAGGGGGACACAATGACTGCAAAAGCATTCTGGGCATTTTGGCCCAAGCCGAGGGGAGGTCAAAGGTCCGTGCATCCAGGCCTCCGTGGGGATCAAAGGCTCATCACAGCCGCCCTCTGTCCCCAGCAGCCCGGGACCAGCGTCACGAAACTGGCAGTAAGCGAGGATCTCTGCTGGCCTTGGCGAGCACAGCATTTGGGGGTGCACATCTGAAGCTGGGGGGTCCCCAACATCCGACATTTCCTAACTCCAGCGGCAACTAAGGGCAGCGGTCAGCGCTGTGGCATTGGGGGGCAGCCTCCAGGTAGGAGGTGCGGATCTGACAGGGGCGGCGGGAGGAGAGAGGTCCCTCCCTGCCACCGCCTGAACATCTGCCGGCTTTGTTTTCCGCTCCGCGCCACGCCGTAACTGCCAAGCTGGGGGCGGAGCCTCCTCCACACGGTCCAGCCCCTGGGGGGGGTCACGGGGGGGGCCTTTCCGGTGGCTTCGGTTCCCTTAGCAACCGTGGGGGTTGGGCAGAACCGGCCTGGAACCAG